CATAATTAGAATCTCCCCTATTCATTATTTGTGTGGATTGTAAAATTGTTTTTTTATGTAATGAGATTTATTTAATATAATTTGAACTTATACATAATAAAAAATGTTTAATAAAGAGATTATATATTATAAATACAATTTGTCTTATGAATTTATTAAAATATTTTTAATAAAATTATTTTTATATTATTTTATTTAAAAAATTTTAATAAATTTATAGAATAAATTACATTTTTAATATATCATTTAAACTGTATTATATGAATTTTATAATATATTTTAGGAATTTGATGATCTACTATTTGAATTCCACCTCTAAAAAAATAAAAAGAATAATTTTAAGATTATATCATTTTAATAAAATATCAAAATAATTTTAATTCTACTTTTAAAAGAGGTTATTTTATTTTAGTTAAAATTTATTGAAATGATTTAAACCACTTCTATCTAATATCCTAATTTTAATGGGATGAATTTTCTTAAATTTCCTAAATTTGGAGACCCGATATGGAGATGAATCTTCACCATCTAATTTTGACATGGTTGCTGAGCATTCATCTTTAAAATAGAGGACATGGATTGTTACCTGTACTCAGCCTAGTCAGCTAGATATGGAGATTAATTTTCATAATTTTACTAACTTCATCTCAACTGAGCATTTTAGCCACTCAAAATTATTTTAGTACCAGGAAAAAAAAATTAAGCTAAACCCCCCCCCCCCAAAAAAAAGTAACTTTTTTTTGGTGAATGGTTTAGGATAATAAAGTAAATTTGAGGGGCTTAATTAGGACATAATTGGGTTGAGGGTCTTAATAGGAACAAATGACTTAATTTTTTTTTTTTTTTTAACAAAGGAAATGAGGGTAAAGGTGTTCCTATGATGTGAATGAAAAATTCAAACAATAATCATACGAATTACACATTAAAATCCAAACAAATGACTTAATTAAAAGACTAATAATATGATATTTCAAATTAAATAATGTGTAGTAAATTCTAGACATGGTGACTAGATTGGTTTAAAAAAAAGAAAAAATTCAAAATGATATTTGATTTAATGTCACCTAATAAAGTATAATATGATAATATGTTATAATAAGATATGTTTGTTAAAAAAATAAATATAAAATTAAAAAGTTAAAGAGTTTTAAGGTGTGGTCATATTTTTATTAAATATTTAAATATTTTATAAAATATATTTAAATTTTAAAACTCTTTTAAAATTAGATAAAAAGCATAAATTCTATTAAAGAAATTTATAATGGTTAAATGGATGCCAACTAAAGGACATGTATTTTTAGAAAAATACGGAGTAAAAGTATGTGAAAGATACCATTTAAAAAATTGCCTTTTAACCATTAAAAGTCTTGTTAGAAATCCGAACATATATATATTTTTAAATTTTTAAAAAATTAAATGAAAAAAAAAAAGTTGATATTAATTCAAAAAACTTCCTCTGGCGAATAGAAACTCATAAATTTTTTATTTTTTTATATAAAATTATCTTCATTTTAAATTATTTAAAATTTTATTTATAATATTATATATTAATTAATTTAATATTTTATTTTATTTATTTAATATGATAATTATATTATAAATCTAAATGATATTATAATTATAGTAATTTTTTAAAAAAATATGTCAGCTAATAATTTGTATATTTAATATATATAATTATATATTTAAAAAATATTATTAAAAAAAAAAAAAACCACCCCATTTACGAGCATTTGTTTTGTTTCTTTCTTGCAGAGTTGTTTATTGATTTCACACCTCCTCCGATCTCTCACCCTCTTCCAGGGGAGAGAGACGAACAAAACCGGAGCAATAGAAACCAACAGTGTCAAGATATATCCATTTCCTATCTAAGATTTTTGGATCGATCTTCATATTTGATTCTAGAGGTAGTTTCTACTGCTCAGGTGATCTCCTTTTGCTCTATTTTCAACAGCATTCTTTATAAATCTGCTCAAATTTGTTTGGATTCAGTGATTGTATCATCTTGCATATAAAGATTGTGTGCTTGAATATAAAGATTGTGTGCGTGGAATGATTCTTTTAAGCAAAAAGGAAGTGGGAAATTCTGGGATTTGATATGAAACCGTGAACCTGAATCCATTTAGTTTGCCTAGTGACCTGGTGCAGCCATTTAGTTTTATGCAGATTTTCTGAGCTTGGCTGTGTTTTATGATGATAGGGTATCTCAAAGTACTTTTTTTTTTCGCTTTTGCCAAGATGTGTTAGGATTGAAAGGGTACTAGAAATTTTGGAATTTTATAGATGCTAAGAGTTCAAGTATGGGACCCAAATCACCCTCAAAACTGAAGGTCTCATTCCTGGGATTTGCTCAGTTGAGACAGGGTTTGGCCCTTTCTATTCTTGTCTTTGTCACTGCGTTGTTGTCTCTGGGTGTCTATTTTGCTTTTAATCCTATAAAATCTCAAAATGTATTAGAAAGATCATACTTTACTGTTGTGGTGGACTGTGGAAGCACCGGAACAAGGGTAAACGTGTATGAGTGGGAAAGAAGAGGTTTTGATATTCTGGACCTGCCTATTTTGGTGCGTTCTCTTCCAGACAATTCAACCAAAAGTCCTCTTTGGAAAAAATCTTGCCATTACCATTGTGTGCAGACCGAGCCCGGTTTACATCAATTTGTTGGTAATGCTACAGGAGTGAGGGCATCTTTAGAACCATTGATTCTATGGGCAGAACAGTGGGTGCCTCTTGAAAGACATAGAGATACTCCTATTTTTATATTGGCTACTGCTGGGCTGAGAAGACTGACAATTGAGGATTCTACGCAGGTTTTGGATGATATAGAGGATATTGTTAAGAATCGCACTTTTATGTACAAAAGGAGCTGGATAAGGATTTTGAGTGGGAAGGAAGAAGCATACTATGGTTGGCTTGCTCTGAATTACAAATTGGGCAATCTTGGAAACTCCTCAAAAGCATATACCTCAGGACTTCTTGATCTAGGAGGATCATCATTACAGGTTGTGGTTGAAGTAAAAGATTCAAGGGATGATGAAAACTTAATAAGATCAAAGATTGGTTCGATTAATCATCAAATTTTAGCATACTCATTGCCTGCATTTGGTCTGAATTCAGCTTTTGATAGGACAATGGTCATGCTCAGTCACGTTCAAAGAGTAAGGGAAACTGACAGTGATAGAGTAGAAATCAGGCACCCTTGTCTAAGTTCAGATTTTGTGCAAAATTTTACTTGTAATGGTTGCTCCATCATAAACATTACTGGGCAGCAAAACGCAGTCTCAGAAATGCATGAAAAAGAACCTAATTCTGCATATTTGGTTGGAGATCTGAATTGGGAGCAGTGCAAGAGGCTTGTGAATGCTGCTGCAATGAACTACAGTGGTTCAGATTGGTCACAGCAAACATTTGGTGTAAACTGTGACTCAGATTTGTCATCTCATTCTGGTAAGTTTAAAACATAAACTTCTTTTTAGTTATTCTGTAAAAATATGTCAGAGATGTTGAACACACAATGCATTATGTGTTTGGATAAATGCTTGTTGCCATAGGTCCATGGTCATAGCTTGAATCATTATGGTGCCGAAAAAGGCATGCACATTTCTACAGGTCATGATTCATTGTGTATTGTGTAAGATGAACTTCTAATTTGAAAATTGTCTCTG